GGTGAAGCTGCAGTCCAAGGTGGCCGTGCTGATCCGGGAAGGCGTCAGCAGCACCACGCCGGCCAAGGAGGCCGCGTCCGCCAGCCTGGGCTCCATTGGAGTCAAGTTCAGCCGCGACCGGGAGAGCCGCTCCCCCTTCCTCAAGCCGGATGAGCGGGCCCCCGCAGAGGTGGCCAAAGCAGCTCCGGGCAGCACCAAGCCCAAAAAGACCAAGGTCAAGGCCAAGGCTGGGGCCAAGAAAGCCAAGGGGACCAAGGGAAAGACCAAGCCATCCAAGACCAGGAAAAAGATCCGCAGCGGGGGCAGCGGTGGGGGCAGCGGCGGCCCCGTGACGCTGAAGAAGTCCAAGGCGGATAGCTGCAGCCAGGCGGCGGGGAACAAGGGTGTGGAGGAGACTTCGTGGTCCGGGGAAGAGCGGGCAGCCAAGGCCCCCAGCACCCCGCCCCCTAAGGCAGCCCCTCCGCCCCCTGCGCTCACACCGGACTCGCAGACCGTGGACAGCAGCTGCAAGACTCCCGAGGTCTCCTTCCTCCCTGAGGAGGCTGCTGAGGAGGCTGGGGTCCGAGGCGGGGCAGAGGAGGAGGAGGAGGAAGAAGAGGAGGAGGAGGAAGAGGAGGAGGAAGAGCAGCAGCCTGCCACCACCACGGCCACCAGCACGGCCGCAGCTGCCCCGAGCACAGCCCCTAGCGCGGGGTCCACAGCCGGCGACTCGGGGGCAGAGGATGGGCCGGCCACCCGTGTCTCCCAGCTGCCCACGCTGCCCCCGCCCATGCCCTGGAACCTGCCTGCTGGGGTGGACTGCACCACCAGCGGTGTCCTGGCCTGTGAGTGTGCCCGGGGGGGTGCGTGGGGGGGCGTGGGGGTGCAGGCTGGGACAGACAGGATTGGGGAGGACCAGGTCACATGGGGACAGACTTGGAGGCAAGTGGGGATGCCTTGGAAGGGGCGGGTACACAGTGGCCCAGACTGCGAGGGGCTAGTGTGGGTGATGGCTACCCGGGGCCATCTAGAAGGCTGTAGATGTCTGGTTGCGCTGGAGGAGAGCAGGCAGGTGAGTAGGGGGTGGCCGGCCCAGCGCAGGCTGGAGGAGTGGGGCGTCCTGGGGTCGCCCTGGAGGTGGGCGAGGATGGGTGTGGTGGAGGGACCACGAAGAAAGGGGTGAGCAGGGAGCAGTGTCCCTTAGGGCATGGCAGTAGGGCACAGGGGGCTTGAGACAATCTCACCTCTGCCACCATCTTGTCCCTGAGTGACCTGGCCCTGTTTCCCCCCGGACCACACACCTACCTTGAGTCCTAAGAACGTGTGGGGTGTGGAGCGGTTCTCTTGGTGGCCAAGGCCCCCTTTTCCCGCCTCTGAGCCCGAAACCTATGGCCTCTCCAGGGGCCCAGGGTGGGAGACGACAGCAGGTGGCTAGGTGACCTCTCGTGACAACTCCTGATCTCCTTGTCTTCAACTCTCTGCCTCTTGCAGTGACTGCACTTCTCTTCAAGATGGAAGAAGCCAATCTGGCGAGCCGAGCAAAGGCCCAGGAGCTAATCCAGGCCACCAACCAGGTGGGTCCCCCTGGGGAGGAGTCCCTCTTCTCATCCCTTGACTCTGATTAGGAAAGGACTGCAATTCCCAGCAGACCTTGGGACAAGGAAGGGAGCGGGGCAGGAAGAGGAGCCTCCTGCCCCTGGGACTGTTAGGAAATCGGGGTGGCAAGGGGGGGGGGGGTACGTGGTCCCCCTCCCCCTCCCTCTAGTCATCCTCTCTCCAACCTCTTCCTGTAGATCCTCAGCCACCGAAAGCCGCCCTCCGGTCTGGGGGTGACACCAGCTCCTGTGCCCACGTCTCTGGGTCTGCCCCCTGGCCCCTCGAGCTACCTGCTCCCTGGCAGCCTCCCCCTGGGGGGCTGCGGCTCCACCCCTCCCACCCCCACCGGGCTGGCTGCAGCGTCTGACAAGCGAGAGGGCAGCAGCAGCTCCGAGGGCCGCGGGGACACGGACAAGGTGAGCTGGGCTTGGGAGAGGCGGGTTGAGGGTGACGGTTTTGCAGACGCTGACGTGCAGGGGCCCAAGGAGAATAGCAGTCAGGTGCCGACAGGTGGGAACTTAGAGAAAACAGAAGTCATTGAATTGTCTGGAACTAAATTTTTTTTTAATGTTATATTTATTTTTGAGAGAGTGAGCAGGGGAGGGGCAGAGAGAGGGAGACACAGAATCCGAAGCAGGCTTCTGGCTCAGCATGGAGCCGACACAGGAGCTCGAACTCACTAACAGTGAGATGGTAACCTGAGTGGAAGTTTGACACTTAACCGGCTGAGCCACCCAGGTGCCCCAAGGAACTAAACTTGGGCATTTTAGTGCTGGGTAGATTCTTTTTTTAAAATGTGTGTATGGAGAGGGCGAGGGAGATTGGGAAACACGAAGAGGTAAACACACCCCAATGTGTGCACACACACCTGCTACCGTGTACCCCTCGGTTGCCCATATCCCTCCCTCCCCATCTTTTTGTGTAAGAGGGAGGGTGTTTACAGAAGGAAAGCCAAGCACCTGTGTGTCTGGGGCAGGAGGAAGAATAGGTTCTGGGCAAAAGCAACCAGTTTTCTTTCTTTTTCTTTTTTTTATTGTTTTTAATAGTTTATTTAGTTTTGAGACACAGAGAGACAAAGCACGAGTGGGGGAGTGTCAGAGAGAGAGGGAGACACAGAATCCGAAACAGGCTCCTGGCTCTGAGTTGTCAGCACAGAGCCCGATGTGGGGCTTGAACCCACCAACCTTGAAATCGTGACGTGGGCTGAAGTCGGACACTTCACCTAGGCATCCTGTCTTCCCTCGTGTAATTTTTGTATGGGCAGTGGACGTAGGTGTCCTGGTCAAGGCCACCAGGGATGGCCCCAGGTCCAGCCCAGTTGATGCTCGAGTGCCGTTCAGAGGCCCGGCCTGCGGTCTGGGTGACTGCAGCGGGGCCGCACAGGGCAGACCCCGAGCAGGACCTCCCCCCCGCCACCCCGCCCCTGCCCCGGGAGTAGCCGGATGGGTCAGGGAGGCTGAGCTGGCAGGCAGGCGAGTGGAGGCCTGGGGTCTGCGGGAACTCATCCGCCCTTTGCTGATCCTCCTTCCTGCCCCGTCACCCCCTCTGCCAGTATCTGAAGAAGCTGCACACGCAGGAGCGGGCGGTGGAGGAGGTGAAGCTGGCCATCAAGCCGTACTACCAGAAGAAGGACATCACCAAGGAGGAGTACAAGGACATCCTGAGGAAGGCTGTGCACAAGGTGGGGCCCGGCGGGGGACGATCCACGGACGTGGGGAGGGGACGGGGAGGAGAGGTGGCCGTGTGCAGACACACGTGCACGCGTGGGGAGCCGGGGACAGCGGGTCAGCACGGAAGGAGGTGGGAAGGAGACAGGATTCGCTCAAGCCCACCCGGGCCCGTTCCACTGGCGTCAGGGGGCCACGTAGGGGTGTTGGTCCAGAATTTGCGGGAGCGACTCCGATCCCAGTTCGCAGCTGCGCTCAGCAGTCCAGGTGGAGGGGACCCTGGGGGACTGGCGGTGACCGCAGCTGCCTCTCACCCTGCAGATCTGCCACAGCAAAAGCGGGGAGATCAACCCAGTGAAGGTGAGCAACTTGGTGCGGGCCTACGTCCAACGCTACCGCTACTTCCGCAAGCACGGCCGCAAGCCAGGGGACCCCCCAGGGCCCCCGCGGCCGCCCAAGGAGCCTGGGCCCCCTGACAAGGGTGGCCCAGGCCTGCCCTTGCCCCCTCTCTGAGCCCCTCGGCCACCCCTTCCCTCTTCGCCTCTTTGGAATTCTGGACGTATTTATGGCTTCACCTCCCCACTTCCCTCCCTCCTGTCAGTGGGATGATTGGGGGAGGGTTGCTGCAGGGAAGAGGAGAGCCCCCTTGCCCTGCCCAGCCCTGTGCCCCTTGCCCCCAAGCCTGTCCCCATCGCCCCTCCCTTCTGTTTGTGCCCGTCCCCCAATTTCATTAAAGATTTCATGAGATGTTAGCCCCGAGCCCCATGATTTCAGCCCTTTTCTTTTCAGAGACCAGTTTGGGAAAGGGTTGGGAGGAGACACGCCTAGGTCTGAGAGTTGTTAGCAGGGTGTGACTTGGGGGAAGTGCGTGCCCCTCTCTAGGCCTCAGTTTCCTGATCCTTGAAGTGGGTGTTACAGGGATGCACTTAGAACCATACCTGTTACATAGCAAGTGGGGTCGCCGTTGGCAGGAAATGGTGGTGGGTGGGAGGTTGGGGTCCCAGGTCCCACCTGCTCGATGTCTTCCAGGTGCTATTTGTCTGCCCTGGAATTGCCTCAGCAACAGGACCTTTGTCCGCCGTTGAGATGGATTCCCTTTTTACCAGTCCTTCGAGGCTGGGGTGATCCTAGATTTTCCTGAGGTAGAGAGGGAAACTGGGGCACAGCTGAGGGGCCACACAGTGGGTCGGGCCACACTGGCCTCCGTCAGTCCGCATTACCCAGAACCCAGACGTGGCAAGGAGAGGTGGCAGGCCCGCGTCGCTGGAGTGGGTGGGCTTCAGGGCTGGGGCACAGTGGGGAGCCCGGGGCCTGAGGTCACCTGGAAGGAGCCAGGAGGGGACCCAAGGCGTCCCCAACCAATAGGACGATTCAGGTGAAATGCTCTCTGCTGACTGAACAGGGGCCTGAACTGTTTATAAGTGAACCAGAGGTTCTAGATTCTGCCCTGGGGCCTCGCAGAGCAGCAGCCCTGGAGTCCGGCCTGGATTCTAACCCGTTCTGCGTTCTGTGTGACCTCTGCTCTTCTCCAAGCCTCAGCGTCTTGGTGTATAAAACAGAGGTGGCTGTTACGCCACCTCACCAGGTCCCTGGGAAGGGGTAAGGAGGTCCCCGCAGTGTCTGGTCCTTGTGCAGTGAGCATCCGGGTTGTGGCTGGCTTGCACAGAGGGGTCAGATGATGCCCTGAGAAGGAATAATGCCTGGCCTGCGTCAGGCCAGACCGGAGACACCGAACACCAGATACACAAGTGGTGACGTTGGTAAGAAACAGTTTATTGGCTACGGTGAAGGCACAAGGGGCCAGCATCCATGAGTCAGGGGTCAGATCTCCCCAGTGACCTAGAAATCCATGTCCTCGATCAGGTCCTGGAGGCAGGCCTTGTACTGGTCCGAGGTGAGGGAGAGTGGGTAGCTGTTGGAAATGTGCAGGTCCACGGTGTTCTCCAGGGAGGAGGCGCCTCCCAACCGTGCCATCTCCAGCAGGGCCCTGAGACATGTGGGGACAACCTGCAGGAAGTGCGGGGAGAGACCGGAGTCAGGGAAAACACTCCACCTGGTGCACCAGCAGGTGTGCGGTGAGTGGACTACAACTCCCAGCAGCCCCTACACTGTAACCCCGGGTGAACCATTAAGCCCAGGCCTGCTGGGAGTTGTAGTTTTCCCTACAACCACAACCATAAGAGACCCGAAGTCTCCCAGGGCTGAGGTGCTGGAGGGGTTCCCAGAAGCTAGGGCTGAGCAGCTTGTGGTCAGAAGGACTCCTAGGAGCTGTGGTTCCTCACAGAGACTGTGAGGACTTGTACCGACTTCCACATGGTTTTGAGAGTTCAAAACAGGTTCTGGGGGTGAGGCCAAGAGAGGGACACCCAGGGGCGTCTGGGTGGCTCAGTCGGTTAAGCGTCCGACTTCAGCTCAGGTCATGATCTCATAGTTTGTGGGTTTGAGCCCCGCATCGGGCTCTGTGCTGACAGTTAGCTCAGAGCCTGGAGCCTCCTTCAAATTCTGTGTCTCCCTCTCTGACCCTCCCCTGCTCATGCTGTCTCTCTCTCTCTCAAAAATAAATAAAATACTTAAAAAAAAAAAAAAAAAAGAGAGAGAGAGGGGGACACCCAGAAGCTTCTCAGGAGGAGGATGTGGTGGTTGCAGAGACTCTTGGAAGTTTAGTTTTTCAGAGGGGCTTCTGGGACTTATAGTTCCTCTGCCCCGTGTTAAGATCCACCCTTCAGCTCCAGGAACCCAGGGCTGCAGCACCTTGACCATCACGAGCTTCTTGACCCACGGCTGGTCCTGGGGCCACGGCTCCCCAATGCAGAACCAGAGGGTGTAGCGAGGTGAGTGTCCACTTCCTTCGATGAAGGCGACCAGTTCTGGAGGCCCAAGATCTTAGTGAGGCGTGTTGAGAAGACCCTCCGCCGCCTGCCCCTCCCTGCCCTCCTCCCCGAGACCTGAGTAACAAACAGCTTCACCTTCTCCCCGGACCTGAGGCCCAGCACCCCCACACCACAACGACTGGATGGCTGCTGATCCGGGCAAAGCCCCCACAGATGTGGGCCGGTCTTAAATGTTCCTCCTTGCAAGGGTGGGGCTGGAAGATGGGCACCCCGCCCCCCATCTGGGACAGGAGTGCACTCCCCACAGGGATGTTCTAGGATTCTGGAGGTCCAGGTGGTTGGCAGTTAGCTGCTCTTCAACTCCCCAAGGCCAGGAGCCAGCAGCCCCTGGGGCTGATGACATTTAAACTGTGACTAATTGGCTTGCACTGGCCTCCTGTAAGTAGCCACACATGGCTGGGGGTACCACACCGGACGGCACAGCGCACGTACAGAGTGCTTCCGGCACCGAAGGCCTGTCCATCGGATGGCAAAGCTCGGAAGGACCCCTGTCTCCTGCATCTCTGACGCCCCTGTCCCGGTAAGTGGTAATAACCGGTAACTGCGAGGACTGGGGCAGTTAATTCCTTGAGCACCTTCCGCACACTGTGCCCTGGGCCTCCTGCCAGCTCCAGGCAGAGGAGACCTTCCTTCGACAGACTCAGAGCAGTCCTGTCTTTTTGCCCCAGGTTGAAGTTCAGTCCTCTGAATTCCATTCCGGACCCAAGTCCTGAACCACTGTGGTACGCCCTTCCCACAGCAGAGCTGAGGCCCTGCCTCACTCACCTGACACGAAGGGCTTCAGGTCGAACACGTCTCCTTCCTCGTCCTTGGGGACCTCGCCGATGGGCCCGTGGCCACTGTCAGGGAGGAGCTCCTCGCCCAAGGCCCAGTATGTGTGACAGTGCCCCAGCCTCCGGGTGCAGAGCCGCTGTCCCGCCCTCCACAGAGCCAGCCCCCCGCCCAGGCAGCTCAGCACGCGCCTCACGTAGCCCATCACGCCCTTGTCCGTCAGCGACACCCCGGGGTCCGGCAGGATTATTGGCTGTCCAGGCAGCATCTGGTCCGCGTCTGACGCCACCAGCCGCAGGCCCCCCGGGCAGAAGGCAGTCTGCTGGAAGACTTGGCGGCCCCGGTAGAAGGCAGTCACCTCGAACTCCCACTCTGAGCAGTGGCAGCGGCGACATGGAGGGGGAGGGGGATTGAGTGAGCATGAGGGGGTCCATCGCCCCAGCCCCTCCCACCCCACAGCTGGCGCTCACCTTCCTGAGGCACCAACAGCTGCCTCAGTGGGTTTTCCAGGGGCTGCAAGTCTGGGCAGGGGGCAGGGACGTCTAAGCTGGGGCTCAGCAGGAATGGGGGGCTCTGCTCAGGGACCACAGGCAGGCTCAAGGGCCCCTCATCTGGGAATGAGGCCAAGGCCATGTCACTCAGTAGCTCCTCCAGTCCGTCTTCCTGGAGAGAAGAAAAAACGAAAAGCATCCAGCCATTTCCACGGCCTTTTCTGGAGACTCATACAGACCAGGCCTTTGTGCCCGGCGAGGTAGGGACCCAGAGAGGAGTCCTCTCTGAGCTTTGCCTTCAAGGGGTTTCCAGTTGGGGGCGGGGGGTGAGAGACAACCGTGGGCACAGAATGGCAAAGTCCATGCTCTGGTATATGCTGGGTCTGCTGCTGGCCCGAGGGGAGCAGCTGATTCTGGCCCCAGGACCCGGCCCTGTGCAAGCAAGGCCTGGGCGCAGAAGGCTGGCCACCATTTCAGGGCGGACCCGCCCCTGGCACGGACATCAGCAAGACCAAGGGGAGGGCGGCTCTGGCCTCCCCGGGGGCTGAGGGTTCCCTGAATAGCAAGGAAAGCCATGAAACTCTGGGAAGGTGTATTAGGGCCTTAAATGCCTGGTGAGAACTCTGAATTTTCTCCTGAGGATGCCGGGAAGCCACTGCAGGGTTATGAGCAGGGGAGGGGCAGGGGCAGCTCTAGCTCAGTTTGGGGATGGACGGTAGGGGGGAGAAGGAGGGCCGAGGTCCAGAGGGAGAAGAGGAAGGCTGAACAAGGCCGTGGGGGGCAGAGAGACAGGCCAGAGCGCGAAAGACGGGCCAGAGCGCGGAGGGCAGGAGGGCTGGGGTGCACTGTGACCTGGGTGTCAGAGGTACTGCATCTGCTGTTGGTGTCTGGGGACGTGTCCAACTCAGCGAAGTCCCCAGCTCCTGTCAAGGGAGATCGTGAGTGGAGAGGGTGCTGGGGACGCTCCAAACCCCACCCCACCACGTGAAGCCCCACTTCTGGCACACCTGAGTTCACAAACTCATAGACCTTGTGCGGGTCGTGGGGGTCCTTGCTCCGGTCCTCGGCTAAGCGCAACACCTCCTTCCGGTTCAGGGCCGACCGGAAATTCCTCTTCCAGGTGGGCAGATCAGGTTTATCCTTTCCAGGAGTGTAGGCGCCGCTCGCCTCGGCCCAGGCCTGGGGATCCAGTTGACACCGGGACAGTGAGGTTGACTGAGACCCCCGGCCCCAAGGATTCTCTTCTCTGGCACGTTCTAACCTGGCAAGGTTCCAGCCCCGAACGCTTCGATTCTCTGCACCCCAAGGACCCCTACCTTCCCGTTTAAAAACCTTTGCCCCTCCCTTTTTTTTTAATGTTTTACTTATTTGTTTTACTTATGTGAGTAGAGAGAGTAAGCGGGGGGGGGGGGGGGGGGGGGAGAGAGAGAAAGAGAGAGACAGGATCCGAAACAGGCTCTGCACTGACAGCAGTGAGCCCAATGTGGGGCCTGAACTCACCCTCGAGATCATGACCTGAGCTGATGTCCGGTGCTCAACCTACTGAGCCACCCAGGCACCCTGAAAACCTTTGCTTTCTAAGCCAACCTTCCAGGTCCTACTGGCTAACTCTGCCACCGACCTGCCCCAGGCTACCCGCTGTAATAGCCCCGCCCTCTCGCACTCTAACTCGGGTTAACCACACCACTGCTGTACCCTAACTTGGTAGGGAGTCGCCTCAGCTTGGGGGCCAGGTCTCACCTCTAAGGTTCCAAGACCCGCCCCCAGGATTCTGCGACCAAGAGCCCCGCCCTCTGCGAGCCTTGAATCCCCAGGATGCATTTCCTTCGAGTTCTAACCCCGCTTTTCCGGTTCTTTTCCCGGAAGCAGGCCGCGCAGACCGCTAATAGCGACAACCGCGGCCGGGTCCTGTCCTAACCCCACCCGCCTCCAACTGCTGGAGTCAGCTCGCGCCGGCCACACGCGTGCTAACCCACTTTCCCGGCTCCACTCCCTGGGAGCCCATCCGGCCGGGCTGGCAGCTCCGGGTTTCGCGCGTCCGGGGAGCTCACGCACCTGGAAGATGCCGAAGTCCTCCTGCTGGGCATCCTGGCGCAAGCCGTGCTTCCAAGGGATGCGGAAGCGCGTTCTGTTTTTGTCCAGCCAGGCCACCCCCTCCAGCCGCCCCTGGTCCAGCTGCGACTTCAGCCAGGGCAGGATCCGCGGCTTTTGGGTACCCATGGTTCGGCCTGCGCTTAGAGAGCAGTTCGTGGGCGCAGGCGGCTTCTTAGGCCCACCCGGCCCGAGGGTGCCACACCCAGACCTCCCTCTCATGGGGTCGCGGTGCAGGGTCCCTCACTTCTGTTTTCCTGGGTACAACATGAGACCTTTTTTTCATCCTCCGGAGCGGCTCCCCGATTCATTTGAGACACCCTCCCCCCTTCTCTAGCTTCTTCTGTCCAGGCCCCCTACCTCAACTCCGCTAGCGTATAACCTTCCCTCTTCCGTTGTAAACTCTTCTCTCCCCACCCCTCCCCCACGTCACCCAACGCAGCCACCTCCACTTCCAAAGTAGAGCCTCCCCTAGTTATTTCAGCGCAGACGCTATTCACCTGTAGACCTCTACCTCCCGCACTTAACCCCGTTGTAGATCCCTTCCACGATTCCCCCACAGAAGAGCCCCTCACCCATTTCCATAGCAGACCCTTAAGCCCCCCCCCCCCAACAGCCTTCCTCCTCTAGGGTACCCCCCAACATACTTCCACTTCATAGAGTGGACTGCCTTCCATGTTCAGGGTCGACTCTTTTCCCTTCATTCCCCCCGTGCAGACGCCTCCGATCTCCGCAACCTCCCCGCCCCCCGCTGTTTTCTTTCCTGTTTTGTTTTGTTTTACAGCCGACCTCCAGCACCAGACTGCTTCACTTTTTCTCTTTGCTTCACTTTCCCTAGAGTACATACACAGTGCCCCTCTCTATACTATCCGGGTAGACCCATTCTTTCTCCCATTTCTCACTCCGGACGTCACCAATTCCCTGTTACCTACGTAGAGTGGCTCGGGGAGCAGGGCGCTAGGACCCACCCCTGCTTTTGGGGTCCGATAGCCCTCGAACTTGCAGCTGCACAGCCCCCTTCCCGTCAGCTGAGCTTCGGAGCAGCGGCCCTTTCTTTTTCTACCGATTTCACGAAATAAAAACTACCTTCAGATGGTTGACAGACTCCGGAGCCAAAGAGGCGGCACCCAGAGCCCGGACGTCCCTTCACCCCTTCCCAACCATACCCTTTTAAGGTCTTCCGGCCAAGGGCATGCTGGGAACGTCACATTCAAATTCGGTGGGCATCCCGCGCACCGCCCCTTTGACGACTGGCGCTCCAGTGCGCAGGCGCGGGAAAGTTGACCTAACAAAAGTTTACGCAAGTGCACTGCAGGAGCAGGGGGAGGTGGCTCCCGGCACCAGGTAAGCAGGGCGTTTGCGAGGCCGGGCGTGAGGAGGGAAGAGGCCGGGATCTAGGAGCGGGCGCCTCAGTCCCTCCCCGACATCCACGCGTCCCAGGTCCCCAAGATTCCAGCCTCAGTCAGATGCTGGAACTACACTTCCCAGGCTGGCTGCGCGGCGAGCTAGTGCGGAACGAGGGGAAGGTTTGCCATGAAGCCTGCTGGGATTCGTAGTTCCCGATTCTCTAAGGGCTTGAGAAGCTTGGCTTATGCCTTCAGAACCCAGAAGTCGGAGCCCCAAGTTCTCTTCTCTCTCAGACTGAAGAATTCAGATTCCCTATCCCCCTTCTCCGAAAACTCAAGCGTCCAGCCCCCCCCCCCGACCCCCCAGCCCCTTCCTCCCTTAGACCCAGGAATCCGGGCCCCCAGCGTCTTCCTGTCCAAGGATCAAGGGGTCTTCCTCCTCATCCCTCTTCTCTCTCTGAGGACTCAAGACTCCCCTAAAGGACTTCGGAGTTCAGATTCTCGGCCCCTTCCTCCCTTGGGGACCCACGAGTCCTGACCCTCTCCTTATTCAGGGATTAGGCGTTTGGGTCCCAATCCTCCAATTCAGTACATCCCTGGAGTCCATCCCCCAGCTCCCCGTTTCACAGGTGCCCCCATGGCAGGCTCGGAAGAGCTGGGGCTCCGGGAGGACACGCTGAGAGTCCTAGCAGCCTTTTTTAGGCGAGGTGAGGCCGCCGGGGCCCCCGTCCCAAGCCCACCCAGGTAAGAAGGGCTGCCCTCCTCCCTCAGGGAACTGCATTTGGGGCGGGGCCCCCTCTAACTCTTGTCCCTGGTCTCAGCCTGCCTGCATTCCCCTCTCTTTATATCTGGCTCTGGTCCTTGTCCCTGGGGTTGCAGTGAGAGGCCTTCAGTGGGAGGAGAAAGGGACCGCTTGAGTGGAGCCTCCGGGGTCACTCTCTGAGGTCGCCTTCCCCAGGAGTCCTGCCCAGGAGGAGCCGACAGATTTCCTGAGCCGTCTTCGAAGATGTCTTCCCTGCCCCCTGGGGCGAGGAGCAGTTCCCCCCGAGGCCCCGAGGCCTCGCTCCCTGCCCCTCCGCCCATGCTATGTTTCAGAGCCTGGTAAGAGATTTCCCTAGACCACCATGGACTGGCGGGGCCAGGAGCTTTGATTCTTAAAGCATAGAAAGGATGAGTTAGTCCAAGATCACTCAGCTAAGAGGGGAGCACTCACCATTCTGTGCTCCCCCCGCCCCCAGTAACACTGCTGTCTGTCTGTTCTGTGAGCTGGCTTCCGGAGAGCTTTTGGTCAACTGTCTCCCTCCATGCGTGCTTCTCTGACCCTAGGACTTTGTAGCCCCCCAGGACCCCCAGTAGCGGAGGGAGGAGACCTAGTATTCAAACACAGCCCCCTGGCTGTTCACTTACACGACTCTGGGAGACTCCTTTCCTTCCTTGCTCCTCTTTTTCTCCAGAGGCAAAGTAGGAATGTAGGGAGGGTGGGGGTGGGTGGGGAGGGGTCAATGGACTTGATCAAGAGTAACCAAAAGGTTTCTTTCCTCTCATGTGTGAGCCTGGAGAGCCTAGTCACGGCCACTGGGAGAGCTAGCTTGGAAATGATTTCGCAGCTGGGGAGAAGAGGTCTGCGACCAGGCGATGACGCCTGGAGCCAGCAAGGGGTAGAGCGATCATAGCCGGGGTACCGTGTGTCTGCTTTCCTTGGTTGGGATAATCTTCAAGGTCTAGTTCAGCTCTAATGTTCTCAGTCCAGTTGCGGGGGACACAATAAAATGGAAAGTACAAAGGTCTTTTACCAAGTGTGCTCACTGGGCCTCAGTTTGCCCCGTTATGAAATGGAAATTATTGCTACCTGGCAAGGCGGAGAGAATCCATAACTTCCCGGTGTCCCAGAGACCCATCATTGGCTCTTTTCACCCCAGGCCCACCCACTCCGGATTTCTATGCTCTGGTGGCCCAGCGGCTGGAACAGCTGGTTCAAGAGCAACTGAGATCCCCACCTAGCCCAGGTGAGGTGCAGAGGCGCCCTGGAGAAGGAGGAGGGTGGAAGGGTTGGCAAGTTCGGCTCCCAGCAGAATTCTCTTCTTTCCCCGCAGAGTTACAGAGTCCCCCACCCACAGAGAAGGAAGCGCTGCTGCGGAAGCTGGTGGCCCTGCTGGAGGAAGAGGCAGAAGTCATCAACCAGAAGGTGATGGGCAGTCTGTCCCATCCCTTAGATAGGATAGGAATCGCAGGATGGTTGGGCCCTGGGATCCAAAGCTGGATCTGCATTCTCATTAGATGGTCAGGTGAGGGGGGGGGGGACTAGGGTTTGCAACCAAGTCCAAGCTCATTCTGCTCACAGCACCACAGGCCAGTAAGTTGAGAGGCAAGATGTCGGGATAAGGAAAGCGACTTTATTTGGAAAACGAGCGAACCAGGGAGATGGCATACTACCCACCCAACTGCCGTCTCCCTCACCGTGAGGTCTGGGCCTCTTTTATGTTGGGGGGGAGGTGGTGGAAGCAGGAAGGGGTTGGGAGTCAAAGGGTGACTGATACAACGGAGGAAGGTTGTGTAACTTTTTTTGGTCCTTGGTTATGTGAACTTGGCGTACAGGAAACTGGTCATGTCATTCCTAGCATGGTCATTTCTGTAGGTGCCTTCCTTTAAAAAAAAGAAAAAGAAAAAAGCTTATTTGTTTTGAGAGAGAGAACACACAAGTGGGGGAAGGTCAGACAGAGAGACAGAGGGAATCCCAAGCAGGCTCCACACAAGGGGCTCAAACCCATGAACTGTGAGATCATGACCTGAGCCAAAATCAAGAGTCAGACGCTTAACTGACTGAGCCACCAGGTGCCCCTGTAAGTAACTTCCTTATCTCCTAAGGTGAAGTAGATTTTGGGTAAAATATAGCCTTTGCAAATCTTAGCTGTAACGTGTCTATGTGCAGGGCTAAGCAGAAGTTCCTAAATTGTAGGTCACAGCAGTTAGGGAAATAGAAGCAATATAGAGTCAGAAGTGCTAAGTTTCGTCAGAAGTGCTAAGTTTCTCCGCTACAGGTTGAGTGACAAGAGTTAGTAAGGGTCAGGATAGTATCTTAAACCTGCGGCTTGCAGGCTTCGTTGGAGGGGCGTGGCCTAGACGCAAGGGGCGTGGCCACTCCAAACAAGAGCTAGGAAACTGGGACCAGTTGAGGAGTTAGGGACTGCATGGTGGTGGCAGGGGAGTTGGTTTGGAGAGGGCTGTCTAAAATCTGAAACCCTGGGGGCGCCTGGCTGGCTCAGTCGGAAGAGCGGGCATCTCTTGATCTCGGGATTGTGAGTTTGAGCCCCACTTTGGCTATAGAGACTACTTAAAAATAAAACTTTAAAAAGTCTGAAGCCCTTGTTAACTATAGAGGGGCATGACTTAGAATGTGAAGGGAAATGCACTGTAGAGGTCTGCCTTATGACTGTTCTGGACCTTGATTAGATCAAGAGCTTGGGCGAAGCGTATGATCCTATAATTCTGTATGGTGGACGGCAAGGTTGTAGGCACTCGCCTGGCCACAGGTGCTCCCAGGGAAGCTGTAGGGGGCGTGGCTATCCAGGCCTTGCCTTAACTTCTGGTCCACTTTCCTATGAGTAGCTTGGCAGAGAGCAGAGTCTGGTTTATGATTGGCTGGTGTGACGGATGGGACGTGGCTTACATCATTAGTGGCAAACGCTTCTTTCAAGAAGCCACGCCTCCTGTCCTCCTATTGGCTGGCCCCGGGGGCATGGCGGAGGCAGACCCAGCCTCTTCTCTTCCCCACCCCACAGCTGGCCTCCGACCCCGCCCTGCGCGGAAAGCTGGCCCGCCTCTCCGCGGGCTCGTTCGCCCGCCTAGTGGAGCTGTTCTCCAGCCGGGAGAGCAGCCCTCTCCCCGGTCGCGCACGCCCCTCCTTGCCCTGCCCTGGGCCCCCGCCGCCTTCCCCGGAGCCCCTGGCCCGCCTGGCCCTGGCCATGGAGCTGAGCCGCCGCGTGGCCGGGCTGGGGGGCACCCTGGCCGGACTCAGCGTGGAGCACGTGCACAGCTTCGCGCCCTGGATCCAGGCCCACGGGGGCTGGGTGAGCTGCCAAAGCTTCTCGGTCCCTTTACCCACTTGTAACTTGTGTCTGTGTGGTAGGGGGGTGGCTTCTGCTGCTTCCTTGCAGACCTCACACGTGCTCTCGGAGCCCTTCCATTCCTCTGTTCTAGCTCCATCCAGCACCTTCTGTACAGCAGTAGGTGATCCGTGCAGATCGCATGCCTAACTTAGACCATGCTGGCAAACATTAACAGTTAGGAGCGGGAAACAAGTAAGGCCCCTTCCTGGGCCTCGGTTTCCTCGTCTGTCAAACGGGGAGAGTAGAAGTGCCTGTCCAGAGGGTTGTCAGGATTCCAGTGGAATCCTCTTTGAAGGGCACCCGGTAGGCATTTGCTTGATTACCTGCTGACTGCTTCTCTGACAGTGCCTGCCAGAATGCACTTGCCCGGATGTCCCCCTGCCCGTTTTCTCTGCTCCCTTCACGTGTCACCGGCAGTGAGGCCTCCTCAGGTCCTCATTTAAAACTGCAGCCACTCTGCACCCTCCCACCCACGCTCCCCTTCCTTCTGCGTTGCTTTACCTCCTTCCATAGCACAGCTGCTACCAGATGGCAGAAGTCACTTGTTTGACTTATTTCCTTTCATTTTTTGTTTTCTCTCACCACTGACATACCAGCTTCACAAGACCTGGGAATCTTAGCGACCTTGCTCACTGCTTTAAATCCAGTGTCGGGCTCAGGGCTG